ATAAATTAAAAGTCTAAGGATGAGATTGCATATTGAATCAATGTTTAAAGACTATCCTATCATTTTCCCTTTTTTTTTTAATAGAAAGTGATCTTCAAAAAGTTTGTTCACTATGCTGCGAAGTTGTAGACGAGACAGAGCTTCAAAAAGTTTCGTGTTTGTCATTACAGTTTGTGCGAATTTTGGGTATACTTGCTTAAGTTGGTGCTATATTTTTTGTTGCCATGGAGACGAACGAAATCAAACTCATTATCGAGCATTTTCATAATGTTTGCTTGTCTTATGGGGTGCTCTACTTATTTCTACTTTCCATTTAGGCAGATTTAACAGAGGGAAATCCGTGGCAACTGTGGGCATATCACCCTACATACCTAAGAGGACATAAGTTTGGCCAGCCTTGTAGTCCTAAGGAAAAATTTTCCTAAATGATTTTGATACAGGTGAGCCCAATTCATTTGAGCCATTGATTTTGATGGATTTTCTAATTCAAAAATTAAGATGCATTGGGACTCACATGTTTCTGGTACATCCAAGAGTATTTCCGAGGAGAGTATGAATGTGCGAACAAAGTAAAGTAAATTCACTCAAACAAATGAAATGTTGATTAACCAATCATTTCCACAAAAGAATCATGAAATGTTGATTAACCAAAACAAATGTGATTACGAGGTTAAGGGCACTAGAATTGCCATGGCTTTCATATAATGCTCACTTTAATGCCAAAACTTTTTGTCTGGTCATTTCAATCCCACTTTGGTAAAAAATAAGAAAAAAAATTCGATGATTCGGGATGATAAAAAAATGGAAAACTTATCCAAAAAGTCATAAACCTAATCACTAATTCAGTCCTAAACCTTTTAATTGTGTCAATTATTTCCTAAACCTTTTCACATTTTGTCAATCCAGCCAATTTTGGTCGGAAATTATTAACGTGGACGCCAGCCGTCCTAAGTGGCACGGCCGACGCTAACGCGAATAATTTTTTTGTAATATTTTAATATTTTTTTAAATTTTAATTTTTCTTTTTTTTTTTCTTTTTTCTTTTTTTTTTTCTTTACTTTTGTTACAACTTTGGCCAATGGGGTTGCCAGCTGACCATTTCTGGCCACAGGTAAGGGCCTAGTTTGGGTGAAGGAGTCACAACCCTCGCCGGCCACAGGCGAGGGCGTCGAGCCCTCAAGCCCCTCAGTTGGTAAAAAAAAAGAAAGAAAGAAAAGAAAAAAGAAAAGAAGAAAAAACAATAAAATAATAAAATCCGAAAAATATTAAAAATTATTCACGTAGGATGACCGGCGCCCACGTCATCAATTTCCACCAAAATTGATCAGATGGACTCAATTGGCAAAACGTGAAAATGTTTGGGAATCAATTGACACGATTAAAAAGTTTATGATTGAATTGATAAAAGTGCAATAGGTTTACGACTTTTTGGATAATTTTCCCACATAAAAACAATCCTACTTTCGGATAATCACTTCAATCGCCGATTTGGGATGCTAGAAATTCGACGCGGTAATATTTTAACATTTTTTGCTGACCAACATGGCTTGCTGGAGATCCGACATGACAATCTTTCTGCATAAATGCCATAAAACAATGTTGCTATACATGTTTGCCCCAAGTCATTGGGAACAAATCGAGCCAATTTTCCCCTCTTCTTCAAACCCTCATTCAGATCAAAGCATTTTGGGGCAAAAATTAAGAGCCGCTGCAATGAAAAGCAAGAGCGGGATAACTGGCTCAAGTTCGTGTCAATAAAGCCAAGACGGTGGCCAATATTATTATTATTGTGGGCTGAGACTTTCAATGCAGCTCGAGTCAAAAGCCTTGACTTTTAATGCATGATGTTTGATGGAAGGGGCCGAATTGATTTACCACGTGGCTTTCGGTGGAAACGGTAAAAGAGTCTATTCCTATTTTCATCGGACTTGCTTGAGTAAAGCTGTAAATTAGACAATCAACATCAAAGGCTTAGTTTCAATTGGTTTGGGCAGTTTGTATTTCCGTCAGAGGCACTCTCAAACTGATGGACATACTGGGTTGTAGTTGATCGACTTGGAAGTGATTCTGCAGGGCAAGCAAACGCACAGGCACAAGGCCAAAGCAATCTTCCGCATGATTCTTAGCATTTTCTTGGTGAAATTGGATTTCTAGAACTTCTCTCCAAGAATACGATCACGGGGTAATATTATCAAATGCCGTGGATTTAGTTTCTTGCTCTAGCGGAGGGAGTGAGCCACCTATTCATGTACTGGATTTCTCGGTGGAATAGTCCCTTTGGGGTCGATTTCATTGCTTTTGGAGGACTACGAGAGAGAGAGAGAGTTTAAATTTTGAAACGAGCGGCGACATTTTGTCATGAAGAGACACCTCATTGTCTACATTAAACTTTTTTTTCTTAAAAAAAATCACGTAGGAATTAACATTTTATTATAAAGGCTACGTAAACTTTTTGCTGGAATTTGTTGCCGAACGCGCTTAAGTAATCGTTTTTCCTTCTATGCGGCGCTGAAGCGACCGCACGTTTGACTCTAAAGTGAGCGCTTATGACACTTCTAGCGTCCTTACAGGGACTTTTCGACTTAGAACGAAATTTTGATGAGTCGACGGAACACGATTTTCTTGAAGAAATCATTTTTTCGGATTTTTATAAGTCCAAAAAGTATACGCATAAGGTGATTGTCTTAGGCCTAGGGATCACCTTATGCGTTCTATTATAAGTCCAAAAAGTTTATGCACCGACGCTTTAACGGCGATTTAAGTTCTTGCATGGACTGATTACTACTACAAGAAGTGCAAAAAAGTTTATGCTATGCGAAGGTTTTCGTCAATGCGGAGAGGGGAACCTCCGCACACTCGTCAATGCAAAAAAGTTTATACGGCAATCCGCATTGACGAAAACCTCCGCACGATCGTCAATGCGGAGCAATGCGGATTGCGGATGTTGCCTCCTCGTGAACTTTTTTGGGCTTGCAAATGAATCAGTCCATGTAAGACAGACTCATTATACTATATATTGACTTACCACCCTTTCTCAGCAATCGCTCTGCCGTTTGCACCTCTTTCTCAACATTCGCTCCGCGCTGCTGCTCCTCTTCCTCTTCCTCTTCCTCTTTCTCCAAATACACGCGAATCCCAAAATGCCTATCGCTGATCTCGATCATCGGAGGAACATGCACGCCGTACTTACACTCATCCTTCCGGCTCTGCTCAACTTCATTTCGGTGAAGTATCAAGGGAGCTCCGATTCTCCATTTGAAACCCGCTACGTCACCGTGTTCTTCTCCATCTTCGCTCTCCTTCTCTATTGCTCCCTGTCCCTTCCACTCGTTGCTCATCTGCCGGCCTTCACTACTGCTTGCGGTGCCCGCATATTTCGCCTCCTCACGATCGTTTCCTTTTCCCTCTCCATTGCTTTGCCTACGTTGTTGTTGTTGTTCCCGGGCGTCCCTTTCTTTCTCCTCTATCTGCTGTTGCTGATACTGCTCTTTGCAGCTCACTGATGCAATCTTGTTCAGAAACTCATTCGTCTGGTAAAGCAAAAGATTCTAATATTCGTTTTCGTCCACCTGTTTTGCCGTCGACTGCTTGGAGGAAGAGCTCCCCTGATTCTGCCACGTACGGTTTCTGATACGCATTTCATGTTAGAATTGTAGTGCCTGCCAGAGTTCAACTGGTCACTGTTAGTAGCCCAAGAAGAAACAAGTGTTACATGTATGAGATGTTTACTTAGATTTGAATTCTAAGAAAGTCTATGTGACTATGAATAAGAAATTTTATTGTGTTGAAAAATCATACATCGGTTTTAAGTTTAAGATTATCTCTCCTCCTAAACAAAGAATGCGATCAATAATGGTGTGGAATGCATTAGAATTTATGCTATCGGTGATTGATTGGGAAAAAAAGAAGAAGATAAAGGCCAAAGGTTTGGCTGATTGAAGATATTGCAAGCAAATAAAAATTGATAGATCAAGGAGTAGACCTTTTCACACAAAGCTATTCATAGTTGATGTTAGCATGAGATAGAAGAATCATTATCCATGGAGATATTAGACAGAATCATTATCCATGGAGATATTAGATAGATCGATAAGCTTATTAGGTGACTTTTGGGTTTTTATACGAGAAAACTTAAGCCCCAATTTTCGATCCTTCAATCCCAAATTCCTTGATATCCGAGACAAACTTGAAATGAAACCGCAATTTAATTTTAAAATTGAGTATTCATGCATTATGTATCTTTGCTTTGTATGCAGACACTTGTTGTCAAGTAGACAGCTTAACAGTCCTTGGTGGATTGAAAACCAAATTGAATTACGCGAATGCAAATAGAGCATGCGCGTGTGAGTGAGCCCGGCGAGGTTGCAACCCTTGCCGATGAAGGCTGGGTTGCCAAGGGCCGCCATTGGCCCCAGCTCAAATTTGTAGCCCTCACCTAGAGCCGTGGCAAGGCTAGCTCCTCTCTCTCTCTCTCTCTCTCTCTCTCTCTCTCTCTCTCTCTCTCTCTCTATGCACGCACACGCATTGAAGGTGACGATTGAGGCGAGCCCAAACGCCGACGAGATTGTTGAGCAATCGTCGGTAGATGAGTGCCACCCTTGCCGCTGCCTTCATTATTGTCTCATTCGTTAAGCTCGTTCGCTCACTCTCTCTCTCTCTCTCTCTCGTAATTTATCACTTCCTTAGTACATTGGGTTGCAATGGTATTTATACATACGGTAGCCTGGTAGGTAAGGCATCCTCATATCGAGTAATTCTTTTATTTTTTCCCTCTCTTGTCTTTATGAATTATGATCTTCCCGAAAACATTGTTTTGTTTTCCATCTCTGAAAAAAAAAAAAAAAACACTTGACTCCCGAAGAAGTGGGGAAAATGAGTATAAACACCGAAGAAAGGTGACCCGACCACGTCAACATGTCTTGTCCAATGACTCGGCCACGTCAGCGCCCTATCCGCTTCATCTCCCTCCTCGACCACCATCACTTCGCTCCCAACTCCATTGCGCTCCACTCCTGACTGTCTGATATCTCTCGTCGGAGACAAGAAGACCCATGAGAGAGGCCGCAAGAAGAGACTTCTCTCTGCGGGTTTGAGAGGCACACCCTGAGTTCCCACTCCCGCTCGATTGGTGTAACCTCCTCAAATTGCTAATTGCGCAGTTCCATCGAAGCTGGTGCTTCCATAATCTTGCTCGTCTCCAAATTCTGGTAACTGGGTTCCTCGCAGCGTTCTTTATCTCTTTCTGGGTCTTCTGTTTCTTTGATCATCGAGAGTCGTAGTACTGTAGAGGCCCCTGTAGCTCGAAATGTAGCCTTTTGCTCTGCATAAGCTAGTTCAAGAATGGTCAATGCTTTGCCACTAGAGCCTTCTCTGCTTGCGCTTTGATTTTGTGTTTTTCTTGTGGGATTCTTTGCGGTTTTTTTAAGAGAATTAAGCTCTCTGTCTTGTTGATTCGCACCCATTTCAGGGCCTCATCGACCGGAGTGTCGGTGGGTGTAGATAATCAGAATGGCTTGCTCAGTGTCCTTAACATCCCCCATTTGCTTCCGCAATGCAAACAACGCCAAGACCGCGCTGAATGCTAGCCCAATCAAGATCATGAAGGCGACACTGAGGTCGAGGACATTTACCCAGTTTGCGATTCCACCCCTGTCCACTGCGGCGGCCGACTTTGCTTCCGTGGACGGCACGACCATCGCCGTCATTGGTGGCAGCTCGGTGGCTGCATTGGCCGCTGTGCTCACGTTGACAGATCCAGAGAGGAGACGGCAGCTCCAGGCGGAGGAGGTGGGCGGTGGGGACAAGGAGGTGGTTAGGGAGTACTTCAACAACTCAGGGTTCCAGAGATGGAAGAAGATATATGGCGAGACAGATGATGTCAATAAAGTCCAGCGTGACATAAGGCTTGGGCACTCCAAGACTGTGGAGAATGTGATGAAGATGTTGACTGATGAGGGGTCTCTTCGAGGGGTCACCGTCTGTGATGCCGGGTGTGGCACGGGGTGCCTCGCTATTCCGCTGGCAAAGGAAGGTGCTGTTGTGTATGCCAGTGATATCTCCGCTGCTATGGTTTCCGAGGCTGAGAGACAGGTGAATTTTCAGTCGACTGCCTTTCTCAGAGCTATTACAGGCACATACGATTCCTGAATGATAGATTACTAATTCTATGTGCATGCTTTGCCATTCATTCACTGCTTCTGTTAGAAAACTTCTAGATTTCCAATTGTGTATACAGTGACAAGTGCATGATCAGATGTTTCTATGGCAGTACTTCAAACCTTGGGCTGCTTTCAATTGACTTTACATGATTGATTAAGCTTGTCTCTTTTGTCCCATCGCCATTTAGAAGGCAGCTGTTATTAACTCGGGATTGTTTTTGGCAATCAGGCAAAAGAACAGCTTCAAATCACCAATGATGACCAATCACCTCCTCCGACTATGCCAAAATTCCAAGTGAGTGATTTAGAGAGCCTGAAGGGGAAATATGACACAGTGATATGTTTGGATGTTCTCATACACTACCCGCAGAGTAAGGCAGATGGGATGATCGCTCACCTTGCTTCACTGGCAGAAAATCGGTTGATTCTGAGCTTTGCTCCAAAGACATTCTACTACGATCTGTTAAAAAGAGTAGGGGAGTTATTCCCAGGACCTTCCAAGGCAACAAGAGCTTATTTGCATGCTGAGGCAGATGTCGAGAGAGCATTACAGAAGGTTGGGTGGAAAATAAGGAAGAGAGGCCTAAGCACCACTCAGTTTTACTTTGCAAGACTTGTCGAGGCTGTTCCTGCATTGAGGCAATGGAGTGAGTGAGTGAGGTTAAGTTTTGGTTTTTTGACTTGTTAATCAGGTTGTAGTTTTGGAAAAGATAGGAAGTTTGAACATTGGTCAGAATTTCATCTGTAAATTAGTTATTCCAATTCCAACTCCTTAATTAATAAATTCTCTTTTCATTGACTTTGTTAATGTACTCAAGTAAGTGTTTACATTTCATGCTGCCCATTCCATTCACGAAACTCTTGAAGAAGATTCACTTTAGAAGACACCTTCAGTTAACCCCTCAGTCATCTAGAAACAGCTATAGGAAGTTCAGCTGATACTCTTTAGGAGTATTACTGAAACCATTCGGTTAAATTTGAGTAGGGTATTGAATCTTTCTGAATTGATTGCCCCGGGAACAAGTTTGGAACTCTATCATGTTCTCCTTGTAATTGTAGTGCTTGATTAAGAAACTCCTGAGAGAAGCTAACTCTTTTAGCTTTCTGCTGAAAGGCATTGATTATGACAAGTCTTCCTACTCAAGTCAGATGTGATGTGAAGTCGAGGTTGTTTTGGATTAGGCTGAATTATGGTTGGCTATTCTTTATGGATGTCTTTTTTTTCCCCATTTTTGGCTACCAATCATCGGAATGCAGGTTGAGGTCCCCCTTTGTAATAATAAACTGTCCTGTATTACTATACAAAAAACTGGATTTTATCAGGACCAAGTGAGCATGTAGATAAATGGTGAATGATGCTGCTATTTGATTTTTCTTTCTGATCTGCTGTTCCATGAGGTAAAACATCATTGCCATGTTTGCTTGACAAAGCAGATGGAACTGTGTGCCAAAGTCGAGAGAGAAGAAGAAATGACAGAAAGGTGAGCTCAAAATATTAGCTGTAAAGAGGGCATTGATGTGATCACTCCATTTTTTGCAAACTCTTGGAATTTTTTAGAAGCAAGAAAACTTATTAGACAGGCTGTTGCATCCTTTAATCTTTCTTTGTCAAGGGTCAGTGTACATAAGGATGCTTGATAAGGTTGCTCTATCATCCTGCATTAGTCTCTCTCTCAACAGTGGTATCTAGTTGGTTCACCGCCCCTCCTGATAAGAAACCGAATAAAAGTCAGAAAATGAAAGCAAAGACGGTTTATAACTGAAACTTTTATCATGTGGTTTATATAATTTCTCGAGTTCTTTAAACTTTGTGTGTCCTATATTGATTCTCCGTGTTGGTTCTTCTAGAATGTTAGCTTAGCTGGTTGAGATGAAAGAGTGAAAACTCAAATGTTGGTGTGACACTGCAACAAAGAAACTTGTTCTCTCTCTCTCTTTGCACAATTCTTACGTGTCTATCTGCTTTGTGAAAAATTTGTGATTTAAAAGTTGTTAGAGTTTTTCATCAAAATCATTGACGGTCAAAAACACCGTCGATGGTGCAAGTGCAAATACGACTAATTTCCCAACAGAACCACGAGAGGCAATGCTCCTAAAATAAAACAAATTTCGGAATTTGATTGTCCCCCTTTGCTTGCATCCTGGTGGTAACAAAAGGGGAAGATTTTCCGTGTTTTAGCTTTGTGTTGCATCATCCCTTTTCTCATAATAGAATTGTTAAGTTTCTCAGCGATCCTGTGGCTGCCAATCTTCCACCATGAGATGCTCTTCACAGTTGTCTCATAGGTGCCAGTAACAAGCATCCGGTTCTCTTCAAAGTCATTGTACTTCTCTTTAGTGAACATCTTCCATTTGACATTTCAATCAGCAGTCTCTTCTTCTTCTTCTTCTCATGCCTTAATCTATACAGTTGTTGCCTGCAAGGATGGCCCTGATATAGATATTGTCACCTATAGTGTTGATCTGCAGAAACATGGATTTAAGGTTAGTAGCACGATCCTGTGCTGATGCACCTTCCCATTTTTTGGTTCCCCTCGCCCAATGCATTGATCATTGTTGACTTCGTTTCATATTTAGTTAAACAAAATGAAAGTAAACACAACAACAAAAATCCATATTTGTCAATAGCAACAATCCATAAAAGATGAACGCGTAAAATAAAATGAAACATTAAAAAGTTCAAAATGCGTAACATAGAACCTAAATTATACAACTTCGGTCCTCAATCATCCATGAAAAATTGTTCCAAATTCTAACCACCTGAAAACAAAAGAAACAACAAACATAGTTAATCACTTAATAATAGTTCTAAATTAAAATTACAATTAAATAAAGTAAAATAATTATTAGAAAACCTCACCATATATATTCATTCCACTTTAACTCGTAAACTCTATTTACCGATGATAATCTCCTTATGAAGACAATCCATATCTAAAAAAGAAAAGAAGAGATTAAATAAAACAATCGCACATTAATATACAAAGGAATTACAATATAAAAAGACATAAACATCATTTACCTAACTCAAACTTTTCTGCATTCTCGATGCACTCTTCAACATTAATCGGCACACGACCGGCTCTTAACCAATCTTGAGTGCAAATCAAAGCTTCTACAACTTTAGGAGTCAAAGAACTTCGAAAGCCATCAAGCACACGACCCGATGTACTAAAAGCCGACTCTGAAGCGACACTAGTTACGGGAATAGACAAAACATCTTGAGCCATCAAAGATAGGATTTTATATTTTGAGCCAGTAGTCTTCCACCACATCAAAAGATCAAGATCAAGATCAAGAGCATCTTCCCTTTCATCTTCAAGAAACCGATCAAGCTCAGATTTGTTGTCATCGTACTCTTTTTTCATCGAGTACAAAAAGGTTTTCCTCCAAGCTTGGATGTCATACTTGTTGTTACCTTTATTATCATCGGCATTGGAATTATTATTACTAGCACCCAGACTTTGGACACCAAAATTTCGATCACTTGAAGCAAGAGAAGATTGCTCATAAAATTCATACAAACGCTCCAATGCGTTCTTCACCTTATCATGCATCTCATTAATTTTTGTTTCATCATCACAAATTTGTCCATAACAGAAACTCACATAATGCAACTTTTTTGTAGGATCCAACGCAGCCGCAATCAACACCATCATATTCACTTGATCTAAACTCCCGTAGTATTCGTCAAATTTCTCTTTCATTTTCATTCCCATAGCTTCAAGCTTAGGATCGGAAGAATTCGCTGCATCTTTCAAATATTTATACAAAAAAGCTATCCCCTCAAAATAATCATTTGAAGTGACACGTGAACTCCCCGACATCCAATTGGTGGCATCATGGAACTGTTTTAGAAATTTGGAAAGAATAATGGCATTTTCCCAATCTTCATCTCTAGGAAGATCATGGTTAAGGTCCCTTGCGAAAGATAAATAATCCTCTTCCATCGTTTCAAAAGCTTTTCTGAACTTTATGGCGGTGTCTAACATGAGGTAAGTGGAGTTCCATCTAGTGGCGACGTCAAGACAAACCGAACCCTTGTAAGCGATCCTTTCACTCTCAATGCAAGATTGAAATGCTTTGGCTCTCATTGGAGAACTCTTCACATACCTAACCACGTTTCGGATACGTGCAATAGATTCACCTACCATAGTCAAGCCATCTCTCACAATCAAGTTCAATATATGAGCGGCGCACCTCATGTGTAAAACATTACCATCTAAGATCAATAACTTTTCTCTTGAAAGTTTTTCCTTCAAATAACCAATTGCATCATCATTCGAACTAGCATTATCCATGGTAATTGTGGACACCTTTCTTTCTATTTCCCACTCCAAGATGCATTTCTCCACCATTTTCCCAATCTCCCTACCCTTGTGACTATGCATCACCACAAAATTGATAATTCTTTTCTGCAACTTCCAATTTTCATCAATAAAATGTGCAGTGAGACACAAATAATTCACGTTTTGAATGGAACTCCATGTATTAGTCATGAGTGCAATCCTAGACTTAAGCTTACCAAAGTAAGTCTTCAAACAAGTTCTTTCACTGAGATACAAATTCATGCAATCTTTAGCCACTGTAAATCGGGATAAATGTTTGAAGAGAGGTTGTAACTCGGTGACAAACTCACGAAATTCAACACGCTCAACCAAGGAAAAAGGTTGTTCGTCAACTATGATGAACCGAGCAAGCATGTGCCTACAACGATCTTGATCAAATGTCCATGTCGGTAAAACACTACCGGTACTAGTATCTCCCCTTGCGTTACCAGCCACGTCTACATTACGTGGTGCAAAGAATTTTTGCTTCTTATCTACATTGCGAGGAAACTTCTTGCACGTTTTCAAGTGCTTCCTCATTTCAAAAGTACCGTTACCAACACGGTACACATACTCAACCCCACAATGAATGCACTTTACCTTATATGCTATTTTAGTCTCCTCAACTAGGATTCTCGCATAATGATTCCAGCAATCAGATGTATATTGCTTCTTACGAGGAGGAAGACGAGAACTAGGTACCTCGTTTGTCTTGTTTGTCGCACTCGCGGATGGTCGTTCTTCACCTTCATGGCCCGACGATTCCAATTCCATGATCGGACTCGTCTCATCATATCCCTCTACCTCCATTGACATGTTATCTTGATACATCAACTTCACCTATACACAACAATAGAATAATATAATTAGAAATTTCAAAATAGAGATAAAAAATTTATAAAATAGCAAAACAAACTTCCGTACATAGACATTCAATCAAACATTCAGTGTACAACACAGAGTGTCGATGACATTTTTCCTGTTCGAGATCAAGTTTAGAGTACCAAAAGAACATTCAGTGATCTGGGAATCAATATGTACTACAAAACCAAAGTTGTAACATCCCAGACAGCATGACCAACTTTAAAGATGTTACCATTACCTACAAAGTGGCTGGAAAGAGAACAGCAAAAGCCATTCTCACTAAGCATCACCTTAGTAAGATATGGGGTCAAACTGTAACATCCCAGACAGCTCTATTATTTTGTACTACTTATCAGAAGTTCACAGCTGTCTAGTGATTTATGCTCAAAAGTTTGAGGGCAGCACGACTATAAAGGGGGACACAACAAATTCATAAAGAGATTGACACATTTTCTTGGTCGAGCCATGTCTGCTCGGTGCTTGAATTTCGGTACACTTAACTGTAGAATCTTAAGAAGTGTTGAACATATGAACCCAAGTCGTTAAGCTCATTTACTGGTGCAAGTCACCCCTGGATACCCCATATCTGTCGGTCTTTGGATCATTTTTAGTTGGCTGTGCACTGACTGCCAGACGCTCAACTGTGCATACATGAATTGTTCCGTTATATCTCATGATTTTAAGGTGAAATCTTCTGAGCATCTTATCGCATTCTCCGGCTCCTGGCCGTGCACTGACTGCCAGATTCTTCACGGTACAGAATCGTCACGAGACCCACACACACCCAATCGTCAAACAGGCATTTCTTCAAACACGTTGTCCACAAAACATATTTCGGCTTCCAAAGAAGCCCCACACAATCTACACACACCCGTACCATGTATAGCGAAATCTACATAGCAAAGCAGAGCTCAGCTTCAACAAAAAATGCTAAAGCTTTACCTCTCGGAGGGAGTGAGCCGCTGGAGAGGAGACGTTTGCTTGCAGCCAAGAGGGGAGAGTGAGAGAGAGGGAGTGAGTTTCACGAACGAGAGAGAGTCGCTGCAGCAGAAGAGACGTAGGGTAAAAAGACAGTAAAAAGCAGAATTTAGGGTTTTTAACGTAGATCCGGTTCTTGGTTCCCGGTTATTCAATTCTAGATTTTCGATCCTCGGTTCGGTTTTACTAAGGAATTGGGAACCGAACCGCACGGTACTGATTTCACCTTTTTTGAAACCGGTAACTACGAAAACGCGAAACCGGATCGGTTCCTATTGAAGGTCCCAGTCTGGTTCTCAATTCTACCCTCATTCTATGCTCATCCCTAACCTTTCATAATCCACATTGTTAAATGTATATCTTTTGCCTTTCTATTGTTTTCTCGATGGAGAACTTTTTAAAGTCTATATATTGGCATGTTCTTTCCTTCATTGTTAATTCCAATAATATAGAAGTATTTTAACAATATGGATCGGGTCGAGTATGAATCAATAAATTTATATTATGAATAAATGGGTCATTACTTTGGTTAATGGGTCAATTTGAATCGGACCATCTCTGACCCGACCCGACCCGATCCAACCCACTCATTTAACAGGTCTACCATCGATATTGCGTCCGCATGGAAAGATAAAAATAGCCAGGGTTACTCCAATTCGCCCAATTTCGATATACAAATAAATCAATGAATCTCTAATTCTAAGAGATATTAGGTATCCACAAGCCGTTTGATATTCAAAGGCCTGCACAAAGATGACTTGTCGAAGCACATCACGACCCAGAGATTGCTGTTTGCGCATATAGTTCAACTTTGAGGGGTGCTCTTTGAGATCGACTTCCTTTGGAATTGCTTTGGGCAATTTTTTTTCCAAGAAAAATTATCCAAAAAGTCCTAAATTTATTCAATACTAAACCTTTTTTAATTTTGCCAATTGAGACCTAAATCTTCTTACATTTTTATCAATTAAGTCCATCCGGTCAATTTTGGCCGAAGTTCGCCGACGTGGACGCCGGCCGTCCTACATGGCACAGTCGGCACCGACGTTCCTAATCGCCAAGGCATGCGAAGAGATGACAAAGACAATCTTAAAGATAATTCGCGTTTCAATACTTTGCACATTGTTTTCTTTGAACCCCGACCTGAGGTCTCAACGAGCAATTATTCGTCGGGAACTCGCAACATCCTAGCAGCGAGTTCGATCAAAAGCCTCGGGAACGGAGAACTTGTTAGCTGATCTGACCAGTTTGCTGTGATCACTATGCGAAACTAGCATCCCTTCAATGGAGTTTCTGATGGAGAATGATGATTTAGTTTCTCATTGAGGCTTGTCATGAGGTGGGGGGGGGGGGGCGTCTTTTACAATTGGCAAAAAGATTTGTGCCATCCATGCAATTTTCAAAATTAGTTTTCCTCCTCTCTACTTATAGATATTTACAGATTCACTCCCAACATTTTTATTTCGGTAAATCAAAAAACATAACAAAGAGATATAATTCATGCCGGCTTCGTTTTTTTTTTACACGAATTATACATCTTATTGGCATACTGATATGGGTTAATACCACGAAAAACCTCAAACTGGTGCACTTGTGATAAATTTATCCCAAACTAATTTTACCCAAACCGGTACACCTATGATAAATTTACCCTCATTTAGTTTCCGTTAATTTTATCGTCAAATTGCCGAGTTGGATTACACTTGGCAGTTAACGGGTGTGCCAATTTGGGGTTCTGCCCTCCGTTTGTAACATGTGTATCAATTTATAATTTTTCGTGGTATAAATTTGTCACAAAGTTTTGGGTTTTCAATGATCAAAAAATTAGTTCGATGTGAATTTGTCACGGGTGTACCGGTTTGGGGTTTTTGGTGGTCATAAAATTAGTTTGGAGTAAAAATTTATCATACGTGTACCAGCTTGGGGTATTTCGTGATATTAACCCGTTAATATTTATTGCGAATTTATTTTGTATGAATAATAATATATTTTTATTTATTTATAGCTGATTTTTTTTTTCATTATTTTGATGGTGATGGCCGACCACTTCTTTCTTCTTTCTTCAGATTGGTCTCTCCTCGAACGTATAAAACCGTAGCATCCCGTAGCATCCAAAGTCTCGGGCTCTCTCTCTCTCTCTCTCTCTGTAACAGCAAACTAACTTCCCCAGTCACCGCCGCTGCTCGCTCGCGCGCACATGGCCGCCGCCGCCGCCGCCGCCTTCTCCGGCGCCTCCCCTCCCGCGGCGATCGGCGGCATTCCGCCGGAGGCGTCGTCGGTCCGCCGCTCCGCCGCTCCTCTCCCGCACTGACGACCCCTGCCCCCCCCGCCCGCGCGCGCGATCTCGACATGCTTGCCCCCGACTGCTGCTCCTCCTCCTCCTCCTCGTCCGCCTCCGTCTCCGCCGCCGCCGCCGCCCTCGCCCCCCGCCGCCGCCGCAACGTCCTCTTCTGCCTCCTCCTCTCCTTCGCCTCGCTCTACTGCTTGATCCTGTACGGCGTCAGCGTCGAGAGCTCCCTCGAAGCTACCGGCGGCTCCTCTCAGGTGAGTTTGGCTCCCTGCCGTTCCTCGGCGAGTGGCGGTCGGTGTTCGGTTTGGTCTCTGGAGTGAAGTTGCTTGTTAATTTACTGATTTTTTTCTGGCGGATTGGTGATCGCCGGCTTTGGATTCTGGCGCTCTGCCTCGAGGTCTCCCTTTTCTGAGTCGAGCTGGTTGCAGCTTTGACATTTCAGTTTGCGATTGTGAAATGAAATGGTATGAATGTCACAGTGAACTGATCGCGATGTGCTTGAACAGCTTTCCCTATCGATGACACTTTGCTTTATAAAAAGAAATTGACTCAACTGATCGCGGTGGTGAATAGCTACATTCTGCTTTTAAGAATTCAACTGGAATCGTCTGTGCATAACGTGGAAGATATCTTAGCAGCTCTTCTGTCTTGTTGCGTTAGTATAGAATTAAATGGCCTTAGATGCCACGAAGCTCAGGTGTACGTGATTTAGCAATATATGTACTGAATGTAGAAAGCTGATGAAGTAACATCGGGATGCAATTTAGTTGATAATCTTGCTTGAACAGAAGTTTAACTAGAAATATTCAAGTAAGCTGCTATCTAGCTCCACACCAGCTGGACGGGATGCAATTTAGTTATTAATCTTGCTTGAAGTTGTCGATCCTTTAGCTTCTCTTCTATAGCAAAATGATGCAGTTTAGTGTTCATTTGGCAGCTAAATTTTTGAAGTGTTGCGTGCATACTCTTTGGAGTTCCTCAATAGTCTCCTGTACCTTCTGTTTTCCCCAGACATTAGTAGACACATTTTCAGCATATCTAATTATTATGCTGTCGAGAGGCATGTAAAGTTCTCACATGTTCCTCGTTATGCTAAAGGTGTTGATAAGCTTGATGTGAGAAATGCCTATATGGAAGCATCTCTTATGACAAAAGTCGAACAAGCATTGTTTCACATGAGCTTTCACCAAAAGATTAGCGCACTTTTCTTCATCTTTTTATGTCCTATGACTTTGTTACATGCGCACTGATGGATTTAAATGTGCTTTATTCCTCGGCAAAACTATTGTATTTAGTATTCCGAGAAATACAGGCTCGACAAAGTTTTGAAGGATGCTGCAATGAAAGACAGAACTGTTATCTTGACAACTCTAAATGAAGCATGGGCTGCTCCCAACTCCACCCTCGATCTCTTCCTCGAAAGCTTTAGAATAGGAGACGGAACTCACGGGCTCTTAAAACATCTGGTGATTATAGCCTTGGACAAGCAGGCCTTTCTACGGTGTGTTGCTGTGCATACTTACTGTGTTGCTCTAACAACTGAGGGAGTTGATTTTTCGGCAGAAGCATACTTCATGACCCCTGATTATTTGAAGATGATGTGGAGAAGGATTGATTTCTTGCGTTCTGTTCTTGAGATGGGGTACAATTTCATCTTCACGGTATGTGAATATCATCTCTTTTCTGATATACATTTTACCTTAAGATATTTGATTCTTGATTGGGCAAATATAACTTACTGATCACAATCACAATGCATCAAGAAAAATGGTACTTGTATTTGAGTTGTCAAAATGCAATTTTACTTGTGTTGTGATAGGTTATAGCATATATTCGGACATGAGAACTAGTTCACTTTTTGTTTGTATTATGCCTGATCCACATCTAGACAAGACACTCTACTGATATACAGTCTCCAACTTAAGATGCCATGCTCAACACAGCTCCTATCTAAGACGGTTGCAGATGTGCTAGGCAGTAAATGAACTACTATGGTACTGATATAAGGAGGCACGAATTCCTTCTGCCTCTTACCTTTGAACAAGTACCTGTCACAATATACTGCTGTTGGTGAAGGTTATTTATAGGAAAAGTCTGTGAGGTACAAAAGTTAGACTTAAAAGAATGTTTATTTGAAAATGTACAGAAACCAACAGTCTCAGATATGGGAAACTTTGACAGCCTGTCTCCTCACATGTTCTAAGTGTGCGGCATAGGGGTTTGAATTAGTCAAAAGCTAAGAGCACTCATGAAGTCTTCGTTTTTTACGAAGTCAGTAGTGGTTCTGATTCTTAGGCTACTTTGATGCTATTGTCGAAGGATGAAAGCTAGTTTCTGCTGGAAAGCGTACATATATAACAGAAAACTGGACAATCCTGATTTTAGTTGTCAAAGTTAGTACCGCAGTTCTCTTGTTAATGCAAACAGTTACTTTGCATCTCAAAATAAAGGATCATAGTAATTATAGCAACAATAGACTATGACAGATGATGAATTAAAAGACAATGCCCCTTCCGACTTATTAGTTTGTGATCCATTAAATTCTTTTGGGAGAAGTGAGTAGAAAAAAAGACCTTACAAGGCATGGAGAGAAGGGGTGGTTCCAGCCCATATGCAAACTAGCTCCGGAAATAAAAGAGAACTCATTGTATATAGGAGGAACGATTTCTATCATGGTATATCAATCTATGAGCCACTGATATAAACTTTGAACAGTTCGTCTTTCATTAATTAACTCTAAAACTATACACTGCATTGTATATGTGGTGCCAAAACTGGAAATGAAGGAAGCACACTGAATCCAGCGACTAGGAATTCCTGCAAGGGATAAAAGCAGGTATACATCTATCTAAGTCTAGTTCTGGTTGTGTAAAGTACCCCACACATTCAGTCTGTCATTTCTTCAGATTTCTAGTTCGACCTTTCTGATTTTGGACACGATTGTAGTTAATTCAAAACAAGAGATCAGTAATTAATAACTTCACGATCATAATGCCAGCAATTGCTGCAGTGTCCTTTCTAGAAGGCCAAAAGGAAAGAAAATTAGTAGAGTGGTGTCAAGAAATAGAAGGCCCTGTGAGAATGAAGAAAGCCGCCCCTGTGCTTAGAGGGCAAAAGGCTCTCAACTCTTTCTTCTTGGTTTTGTAGTAGCTAATCAGTTGGCACACGCTATGTTCTGGGGTTTTTGGATCTTTTTCCAGGTAATTAATTATGCCTATGGGTTGCACCCCTTTAGTCTCTAACTTGGTATATAAGTTTGAATGGTAACACTGGAAATACATTAGAATCTTGGGTGACTTGCTTCCCAATGCTGAGTGATCAGCTTCATCAACTATATTTTAGCTGCAAATGGAGCAATGATTGGGGATCAAAAATCATTTTTAACATCATTTGTTTTTCACAAAATTTTGTACTCCTAGTGAGCGCATCAAATGGACGTAAATATGTTGATGGGCTTGATACTTCTTCCTTAGAAGGGCAGATGGCTAGCCGTCCCTTACACTAGGTTTTTGGAAAATATGTCTGACAACACCAGATCAGATCACACTATTTGCCTATAGCTGTCGTTATCTGCTTCCTCAAGACAAAATTCAGTACATTATATTTTTGCTTATGAAGCACATTCAAGTCTCAAGAGGAGGAAATTTCTATAGCGTGTGGGAAGATGCCAGTAGCCCATTGCTAAAGATTCCCACTCATTTCTCTCTTTCCACCCACCTAAATAAAAGAGAGAGAAAAAAAAGTGATGTGACTTTGTTCCCTCTCAACAACCTTTCCTAGCATTGATACCGTTTCGGTTGTTCTATATCCAGGATGCTGATATATTGTGGTTTAGGAACCCATTTTCGAGATTCTTTGAGGATGCAGATTTCCAGATTGCATGCGATCATTTCCTAGGCGACCCTTACGATATTCAGAACAGACCCAATGGAGGATTTAACTTTGTGAAGTCCAATAACCGGACAATTCAGTTCTACAAGTTCTGGTACTCATCACAGGCAATGTACCCAGGGTACCACGACCAAGATGTCCTTAACTTCATCAAATTCGATCCTTTCATCACAGATATCGGATTGAAAATGAGATTCCTGGATACTATGTACTTTGGTGGGCTTTGTGAACCCAGCAAGGATCTAAATCAAGTGTGCACAATGCATGCAAATTGTTGTTTTGGACTGGACTCCAAGCTTAATGATCTTAGAATGATGCTTCAGGATTGGAAAGATTTTATGTCCCTAACACCAATGTTAAAGAGGTCACTCAATTTGTCCTGGAGTGTTCCGGACAAATGCAGGTAATTTGGGTCTTTTGAATGGCTATCAGTTTTTCTTAGTGGGTTAATTCCCTCAATCATGTTTTGCATAATTTCCTAATTATTATTTTGACCTATTTTTTTCATTTCTTGTCAGTCTCGAAGCACTCATTCAGTATGGTTCGCCAGCAAACAATGTTCGACGGTATGGTTCGCCGGCGAACCATGTCCGATGACGAATGCTACTCTAGAATGGAGTTGTAAATACGCTCAATCTTTTTGAAGCGAAGGTATGCATGTTCCCATGTAGAGACGGTAGAAATTCCTTGTGCACATTTGCACCTTTATACATAGTCCGACAGTTGATTCACTGACATAGTTTCTGGGATAGATTACTTTTAGTTGAATGTACTTTAGTAGAGGCATACAGATACGATTCATCTCTCGAGGCTCGTGTTTCTGTTTTTTTCCTTTTCAATGTGATAAAAAAGAAGGAAAGTACATGACTATCTCGAACTCACATTTGAAGGTCAGCAGCTCATGTAAAACTGATCCTTCAACCTTCAATAATGACGGCTGTGTCATTCAAAACATGTTAATGCATCCTCAACGTCGAAAGGGAGGACTTTCTTAGTACTATCTTGTGTTCTGCACGCACCACATGCAAGATTTTTTTCAAATCCGCTAAGAAGCTCGGAGTGACGCTGCGGCATATGAAGATCAGTCTCGAACCATCATTGATGATGTAGTATATATATCATCGGTGACCTTTCTATCAGAAAGGGTGTAATTGGCCAAGTGGCCAGGCAAAAAAGCAAGAGTTAGCTCTTTTGCCCAATATGTTCAGTAGTTTACTTTCTTGTCCTTCTGGTCATCGGTCCCCAACTTCTGTTATCTCCAATATGCCAACTTGACCAATTGTTTCGCACGTAAGTTCGATCCACACATAGAAACCTCTCTCTCTCTCTCTCTCTCTCTCTCTCTCTCTCTCTCTCTCTCTCTCTCTCTCTCTCTCTCTCTCTCTCTCATGTGCGCGTGCGCCCGCGCACACCATGTTATTCTGTAAGCCGAAAAACTCCCCATGAGTTGACAAGGTCAATGACTAAAGTACTGTTTTTAGAATGCTTTATATTGCTGATTGACCGGAAGTTGGGAGCCTTAGAGATTAACTATGAACTAGAAATTTCTCTCTCAAACCAGTGAACTTTACAGGTACTCTGCTGTCTGCATTGTTCCATTTTCACATGGCCACTGAAGATCGACAAACAAGTATTAAGTGGTTTCTGTGAACAAAACTAGCATCGACGGGAAAGAGTACGGTGGAACTTTAAATTCAGCTGTGATATCTGAGTGTACAGAGGCCGGTCATCACTTTTGTACAGTGGCTGGTCATCACTTGCCCTTTATACATCTATCAACAAACAGATGCGGTCTCGATCCATGCTCCACACAATATTGATACGGAGGAAATGTCGCGGAAGAGCTGAACTTGTGTCATCAACCCCGACTCGTGACATTGATCCTTGTCCAAAAGAGCAAGCCGAATCTCTTGGTCCGCTTCAGCTGGAGTACCTTCCCTCAATTAATGCTCGCTTCCTGCTTCCCACGCCTCTATAAAACATCATTATCGGAATCTAATTGCGTATGGCTTAGCAGAACACCTTGGTCCCAGATCTCGAGGTACCTGTGTCCATAAATAGTTGCGCAGGAGAAGAAATAGGTTATCAGCCCCACCATCTCAGCACAAACAGCAAATTCATAGAAAAACAAGTTAAGATCAGAGATAACAAATATGATTTGTACAATCAAAGCCGATTGACAGCAAAGTCGCTCTGACAGACACGAAAGCTGATTCTGTAAGTGATAACATGCATTATTTGGATGTACCCCAGCAGAGTACCCCAGCACAGTTCTCAGGTACATACGGACCCTGGAATACTATACAGCCCAGTATAACAGCTGACAGGCTCATTTAATTGACAAAAGAGTAATTGTGTAATGCATTATGCTGCGGACACTACAAAACTACATGAACATCATAAAAATAATGACAAATACAATATAGAATTTTCAGTGATTCGATAATTCAACAGGGGGACATCGTATATGATTACGTGAATCCCGGGGGAACAGAACTAATATCTTGATTTTCAATATTCCAATTGTCGTGATACTAGCAAGAAAAATTGCTTCACCAAACCCAGCATGAAATGTTTCAAGTTTGGGTTGGGTTGCCTCCGTTTTTTTCTGAACTGGAAAGAACTTCGCGCGCACCCGTTCTTTTACTAAGGTTTTCAGGAGGGTTAGTTTTTGCTGGGTTCACTAAGGATATGGACCAACCAAAGGAAAGTAAAAATTTCTGAGTACATTAGGCATACGAAAAACTAAAATAGACATGTCAATTTAGATACTGCAGAATCTATTCCGATGAAATTTACACATTTCAATGCATTTTATGCATTTTCCCCCAAAAAAAGCTAGCGAATGATGAACATATCGGCTTTAGCATTTATGAGAAAATACGATCCCACTCAAAACACCAAATACCTGTCTCCATTAACTTCAATGCAAAGGAAACGGCCGTGTCGCCATCCATCTTCAAACTGGCCGAACCAAACATCACCAGATTTTGTGTAGAAGCGCCCTTCACCATTGGCCTTCCCCTTCCAAAAGTTTGCAAACCATCGGTCGCCAGTGTGAAAATAAAACCACCCCTGCATGAGCATTGAAATGGTACCATTACGTTGCCTAATAAGTACCTTAAATGGTCTAATTCATATTCATATCTGGTGAATGAATTTTTAACGATTACTGATCTTATGATTGAAGCAAAACATATGGAACTCGATTTACCTAGAAGCTGAAAAAAGAAAAAACTGAATATCGCAGAATTGATGAGACAAAAGAAATAATTCTTACAGACATTAGCAGACAAGACACTTGCATTTCTCACAAAAGGTTCAAAATGAGCACATTGCTTGCATCTAGGCAGTATAAAGAAAAGCTCATCTTTCAATCTCAACATCTCTAGAACATAACTAGCTGTAGAAAATTGTGGAACCATTGTTAAGTTATGTAAAAACATAAGTTGTTAGATGAAAGCATGATTTGCGGTTAAATGCTCGAACACTCTCCTTTACACGTAAGCTATACCTTTGACCTACTACTAAAACATAGAAATGAATTATACACGGGGAGACATATAAGGACAAAGATATTCGAACACAAGATCAGTTGTTCTAATACCATGTAGAAGTTGTGAGACCACTACCAACTTATCCAATAGCTTAAGTAGTTAGATGGAATGGATCCAAAAAAGTAGTTAGATGGAGGAGTGGCTTAATATTTAATCGCTGTTACACAAGTCAAAACAGATTCATCCTTGAACAGGAATATAACCCTAGAAATTTTAAATTAGCAAAATGATTTAGAACAGAAATTTGCCAAACCTTTCCATGCATTACATCATCCCTCCAGGATCCCTGGAACACATCCCCATTGCTGAAGCAATACGTACCAGAACCCGACTTCTTACCATAGCGCCACATACCATCATATATGCTTCCATCGCTGACAACCAGACGGCCCTATACATATTAATCCATGCGCCACAGTCATATGCTTTCTTCATTTATGACAAAAAGCACAGCAAAGCCTTCTTGGGGGCAGTACCTTTCCTTCTGGAAGACCGCCCTGGCATCGTCCTCGATAGATACCTCCTCTATATTTCATCTCCACATTAGGATTCCATGTTTTTGGAGAAGATCGTTCAGCTTCCTGCAGCAGAACTAGAACCTTGAATGGAAACCACCACAATCTTTGTAACTATGTACTGATTCTTGTCAAAAAATACAGATGATGCGATTATGTTGAATTGTGACCTCTTATTTCAGATAAGAGTATATTACTATGGAAGGAGATATTAGCAAACTTAAGCTTAAAGAAAATATTCCAGTTACACGATACAAATTGCCAGGAGATCAATCGTACTGAAATGTGATCACGATAAGGGAAAACTGGAATTGCTGGAAGTTTCTCAAGCAAGGGCAACAAGGCTAAAAAATTAGAGGACACAATCTGTCTTTTTCCCTAGGATCCATCACACACCCTAAAGACCTGAATTATTAATTTATAAGAGAAATAAATAGTGGAGAAAAAGAAATTCATAAGTATAAACATTAACATCATTAATAAACATAACTAACACTTCAACAACAGCAAACAAATAAAAGAAAAAATAAGATAACATGATGCCACAAAACTTGAAAGTGTTCTGATATTCATTGCTGTTCATCTTCATCTTCAGTATCAAATCCAGGCAAGCCAATTTCAGTTTAATTAGATTATTGCCGTATTAAAAATCTAGCAAACAATCCCTTACCAAAAAAAAAAAATCTAGCAAACAACAATATGTGAAGCAAGCGGTGTTTAATCAGATATCCTCAAGAAAAGAAGATATACGAAATATCTTTGACATAGTCACTTCTCTTGATCACTCTTAAAGATCAAGAAAATAGAAATGTTGTTCTGCCTGTATGCAAAAGATGCTTCTTGTGCCAACTTTAAAGCCAAACCAAAAAACAAAACGCTTCTCGAAACAATTTCTAGTGCAGAATTTAAAGAAAAAAGATTACCAACATCGACGCTGCACGAGCAGAAAGATTTCCTTGTTTCTGGTGAACATCTGGACGTTTTCCCTGTATCAACGTTGACGCAGCATCATAGAAATCCTTCACTGCTCCAAACCCTACATCGGCCAACCCACTCCAAGAAGACGCACTTGAATCATCAAGTGATTGGGCTTCCACAACATTCTCACTTTCCTGAATTGCATTTTGCACTGAATTTGCAATATTCTGACTGTCTTTCAGCTCATTTGAAGGCTTTACACCAACTGGAAGCTGAAAGACGCTCATGGTATTAAGCATTGAACTAGAAGAGTCATGTGCCCTTTCTCTTGCCCACTCCCGTGCCACCTCATATCCAGGTGTGAAGTTCCAAGAGTTAAGTGGCTCTCTTTGAAAGGATGGACTTCCTAAACAGGGAATTTTAACCAATTTAGTTAAGAAAATTCATATATAGAGTCTAACAAGCAAGTCGAGGAAGACAACAGGCACCACATTCAGATTTTACATGCTGAAATTATTTCCTAATTACCAGTGCATAAAGTAATGTAAGGATATCATACAAGAGTACTTCTATGTTATACCTTCAGGAAGTCGATCATCCAAAATCCGCAACTCTGCATTGCTCTCTGAGAATTGAACCTCGCCTTGCTCATATCTTCTGCATTGTCCATTAAAAGCACTGTAAAATGCAAGAATTTATAGCTAGACAGCTAAAGCTGTTGCAATGAGAAAGCTCTCAAACCTGGATGAATAGATTTCATTGCTTTCTCCTTTGGCTGATGATTCAGGCTCTCCAGAATCAAACGCAGATCCTTGTCCTCTACTGTTTACAGCTACACCACTTTGCACTTCATCTAAGTCTAGCACACTTGTCACTTGAGAAGGATCTGCAGCTTCAAAATAAC